TGTGTGTGTGTGTGTGTGTGTGTGTGTGTGTGTGTGTGTGTGTGTGTGTGTATTTGTGTGTGTGTGTGAGAGAGAGCATATATGTGCGTGTGGGGGAAGGGGGGCTTCCGACAGCAATATAACTATTCAAAAAATACAAGAGGAAAATTTGAAATGTTACAGACATAGCCATGTTACAGACATAGCCATGTTCCTACACAGCACAGCAAACTTCATTCTGCTTCACCAATGCACAATTAGCTGGGGTTGTCATGTCTTGCTTAAACAGAATCACCAACGTAGTGGGGCAATATAAAGATCTACTGACCACAGTGAAGAGATGAAAACTAAAATGGTATGGGCATGTCTCAAGATCCACAGGACTTGCCAAAACAATCCTGCAAGGAACCGTACAAGGAAAGAGAAAGAGAGGAAGGCAAAGAAGGAGATGGGAGGACAACATTACAGAGTGGACAGGAAAGACGATGTGTGACAATCTTAGGAGAGCAGAGGACAAAAATAGATGGCGAGAGCTGGTTTGCCAATGCAGTGGTGCCCCAACGGTTGCCCCAACCACGGGATAGAAGAAGAAGAATGCACACAAAAGACCCTAGTTTGATTCCTGTGTGGAGAGAATTTTTATCAAGCATCTTGGATTTTTCCTCGGGGGCACTGTATCCCTCTCCCTCAAGCTTGGCCCTGACAGGCAGGGTCGAAGCCCATCTCTTAAATTATCTAAATTGTGTCTTAAATTATCTAAATTATGTCTTAAATTATCTAAATTGTGTCTATAAAAATGCCTATAGAGCTCATCCAACATAAAAACATCATAGTTTTTAATGAACAACTTCTGATTCCATTCACGTTGAGCCTTCAAATTTTTGAATACATGACAATAAAATTCTGGTTGGTCTTTGCAAACAATATTTTTTCAACTGTATAGATTGATGTGAGAGGGTACTTCTCCCCAGCACAGGTGGCCATTTTCCGCAGCGTCCATCGTAGGTTGAAAATAAACATATATTTGCTGTACAGTTCTGGAACACCTTTCATAATAGTTTTTATTCAATTTTCTTTGGTTCAAACGAGCAAGTCTAAGTTCTGAACACAGGATATTGGAAATTTCCAAAACTAACAATTTGTGCCCAAGCAGGCAGCCATATAGAAAGAGAAGGAAAAAAAAAGTCCTCTTCAAGTATGATGACACAGGTTATTGTGTGCTTTGGTGTACTGTAAGTTATCATAGTCTGACTTCATAAATTATTATTTAACAAACACAAATAGAACAAAAAGCTTATTAATACATTGTACTATCAGACCAGAACCATAAATTTACTTAAATCTAATAAAAACAAATTGATACAAGACTTCTGGTAAAAGTTTGAGAGAAATTGGTGCAGACAGTCAAAAGTTATCTGCAAAAAATATGATGATTTTGATCTTGACGAGTTATCTTTATTTTTCTCATTTAAAAATCTGTTTTATCCCCAAAAACTAACTTTGCCTGCTCTTGGATGAAATATTCATCATCATTATCATGAGCTTTTCTCACTCTGTACCAGAGTATAGGCCACCAGCAAAAGATCTCCTTGAACTTCTGTCCCGGGCTATAGTCTCCACCTCTGTCTAGCTGTATTCCCATCTCCTTTAGGTCCGAATCCAAGTCCCTCCTCCAAGTACCTTTAGGTCTTCCTTTTTTTCTCTTTCCTTGTACGAACCATTCAAAGGGATGGAAACGGATCAGACCAAAATTTACGGAACTTTTTGCGGGCTATACAGATTTGGAAACATATACTTATTCAATTGTAGATTAGTCTACACAAAGCAGAACAGAATGACTCACCATTGAAAGTAGATAAACAGGCATCAGGGAAGGGTGGATGATGTGATCAAAATTACGGATTTCTGAAAATTTACGGAAAATTTCCATCCCTCCCTGCATTCACTCAATCAAAAACCATCACCAAAAACCTACCGAATGATAGGACCAGTGCTGGCCGGGCTGTCCGGCGGCCCAGTTGAGGTAAACAACCTCAGAGTTGTCCAGCCAGGTCCACGAGTGACGCCGCTTTTTGTCGTTCAAGCCAGTCCAGAGGTCAGAGGTCAAGCCAGCGAGCAGAAGGGTGACAAAATCTGTGCAAGGGGAGAGAAGTTTCCACCGTCTGGACAAGTCAAGGGACAAGTCAAGGGACAAGTCAAGGGACAACCACAGGACGATACACTAGAATTACAATATTCTATCTGCTCACTATCTAGTTTTGAGCAACTTTATGCTAAAAAAATTTGAGTTTTACAACATGTCAAGCTTTTTCAAATGCAGTTCTTTGAATATCTTGATAATGACTTGGAATAATCTTTCCATTTTGTTAGAGCAGATAGATCATTTGGTTTCTGACCTCATACTCATGGACTTCATAACTCAAAATGGCCAAAATTGTCAGATAGAACTTTGTAATTCTAAGGTAGCTAAGATAGGGCAACCTCCACCTGATGTGAACCTAAGGGAAAAGTAATTGCAGAAAACTGCAAAAGGCTATGATGATGAATGAAATTTGTTTTGTGAAAACAGATGCAACCATTTGGAAAATGCTTCAGTGGCTCACTATTATCTTTCAAAACATAGGCTATCCAAATACATAAAAGTGAAGTAATCATGTGCTTAACATTCCTTTTTTCAAATCATGTACAGGGCAGAAGGTGAAACAACACAACTATGGCCACAGAACATGACATAACGTAAAAAAAAGATTACAACAATTGCCACTTTTGATGTTGTTTTTGCTGCTGACATTCATCTTGCTTTATCAAGTACGTTGAGAGAAATCAAATCTTTTGATTAATTCAAATGTCAGCTGAAGTCGTTTCTGTTTTTAAAATAATAAGATGAATATTTGAAATAATTTTCTTTAGTCAGAACACAAAGTTTCATATTACTGTTGTATGTTGTACTGTACCGTAAAGCACTCAGAGCCTGTGTACTTTATTCGGGGTTGAGCGCTATATAAATGTCATTTATTATTATTATTATTTATTATTATTATTATTATTATATCTTTGAAAATGATGCCGACAGAAATAGTTGCTGCCACAATGGCGACCCTGACAACAGCAACAACGGAAATGAGAGCAATACTTCTTCATCCTCGTCACACATGTGCCAGGATCTGGACAATAAAGATGAACTTATCTTCTCTTGCCTTATCTTATCTGATCTTATCTTACCTCACCTTACTTTATGTCATGTGTGTACATCAATAGCTAGGACTTAATGGGCCAACTATGTTATAATGCCTCAAGGCTGTAACGTGACCTTCTTTATAATAAAGGATAACTTCCGTTACTACTCATTCTCACAGAGCTCTTGTTTTTGTTTGTGACCACGTTTTATCATTATTCTTCAAACTAAAAGCATAGCCAAGAACGTAACACTATGCCTTATCTTATCTTACCTTACCTGAGACTACCTTACCTTACCTTATCTTACCTGAGAATACCTTACCTTACCTTACCTTACCTGAGTCTACCTTACCTTACCTTACCTTACCTTACCTTACCTGAGCCTACCTTACCTTACTATACCTTACCTTACCTTACCTTATCTTACCTTACCTGAGCCTACCTTACCTTATCTCTCTAATCTTATCTTCTTTTCTTTTCTCTCCTCCTCTCTTACCTTGCTCTAGCTGGCTGTTGATGCTGGCTATCTGCACTCGGCTGGGAGCGCTGATGTTATGACAAGTGTCTCTGGCATCTTCCCATGCTAGTGGAGGATCGTTGGTGATATCGCCCAGTCCGCCAACTTTGAAACACTTGTTGGTCACACCTGAAGTGTTACAAAAAACAAAAAAAACATAACTAACAATAAGAAGAAGAATTTAGTTTAGTTTTGGAGAGAATTCTATGGAACTTGTATCACCAATAGGTCATGTAAGTGGCAAAGATTAGAGGCGATGCTTGAGTGTAACAAGCAAAGAAAAGAAGGGGGAGAGATTTGTGTACCGTATCATTATTCTACGGGTTTGACTCTATGATTCCTGTTCAAATCCTATCAGGAGCCCAAGGTTGTGACCTAGGGAAAGGCACTTTACACAAATTTCTCTTTGTCAGTTTGTGAATGTTTGAACATGTGTAACATGCAGCTTGCACGGTATGCTTCCCAGAAAGCCAAGAAAATTTCTAAGTGATCTGGAGTCTTTTCGGGTATTAATAGCTGTAAAGCACATAGAGCATGCTGTAGAGAATGGATATGAGCTGTACAAATGCAATTATCATTATTCTTATGGATAAGGACGACAGATGTTTAATATGAAAGAAGAAGCAAACCACAAAAAAGCACTCGCCAACCACCCTCCGAGGAAGAAGAGGAAGAGAACGAGAAAAGACCACCGTGATAGATAACTTATAACCATAGGCAAGCACTACAGTTAAAGAATCTTTCACAAAAATATATTCTAACATACTCTTCTGTAGACTTTGGGCCATTCTGTAATTCTGGTGTGGGATTCGCGGG